GCAGTTCTAAAATTTCCTTAAAATAAACCCTGTTGTCAGCTTTATTAATATTGTTATATAGAAGCTGTAAAATGAATTAATGTTATGTAGAATGCAAAATATATTAAGTTTAGGTTAGATGTGAATACTAGAGGAATAGTATAACTTAGAAACTAAAATTATTAAATAGCTTAGTGTCACCATATAAAATTTCTTATTATTATTACAGGTAGTGTAAAAAGAATTGAAGACTTTAAAATTTTCTAAAACAGGCTGAAGATAAAGAAGTGAGAATTGAGTTAGTTACAAGCAGACTTTTCAGCTCAAACTAATTTCTTTTGATTCTAATTGAAGAATACCTGAAACAAGATTATCACATTTTATTATAAAAAATTTGATTATAGGGACACATTCAACATTTAGAAATAAGTTTAAATGGATAGAGTTTACTAACACTAGAAAATAATTATTCTAATAAATACTGTATCTCCACTATAGTTTTGAGCTAACAATTGTTGGTTCGCACCAAGAAAAAAAAGGGTATTTTTTCACTTCCAATTTGCTCCACCCACTTCTGTATAACTTTTTCAAAAACTTTTGCTACACAAAGTAAGACTCTTCATATGATTATGGCCTCCTATCTGCATACTCATAGGCCAATCATCATCTATCATGTGGTAATACTTTTACTTGTTATTTACTTTAATAGCTTATTACCTGCAATAAAAGTTTCCACTTGACACTTCATGCACTTACATTTGTATCTTTTTTTTTATCACACCATAATAGGGTCAGAACTTACATGAGTTGTTCAATTCTGTCATGAATGATTGTTTTTACTCATGTTTGTCTCAACTTCTTATTGATCTGAGTTATACTCTATCAACATTCATCATACTCCTTTTTTCTCATGATCCAATACCAATATATTTGTTTCACCATTGTTCTTTTCATCCCAAAACTCACTTTGAACTAAAGGTTCAAAGTGGTTTCTCTTGCATTATTTTTTCTTATTTTCTGCTGGAAAAACCAGATTGTTTCTTGTGACCTGTTTGGGTGGTGCAGTGTTACATTGCTCAGATTCAGTTGTTTTTCAGGGAACTTGCAAATGTCTGTGTTTTCATATCTGGAGTCATTGTCCTCTGAATTGTCAGTTCCTCATTTAACCAGTGGTTGAATCTGCTTATTTTGATTATCAATATTTTACCCTAGATCATTGCCAGATTTTCCAGATCTTGTTTCACCTGGTTTGCCACTTTGCTGTATCTTTAACAATGGAAGCTTGAGTTCCTTAGGAGGACATTCTATAAGCATGGATTTGGAAGTCCCCTCATACTTTCATTGGCCATTGTTTGCATTGTATTCAGATTACTTCATTCAAGGATTTTTTTTCTTCATATTCTTGTGGCGGCTCAGAGTTTTCTTTGCCAATATCAATCCAGGAAGTACCATACTTTATTTCATTCTCTTCTGTATGCCTACCCATTGGAGTGTCTTCAACAGTTTAATTTATATTGATATAAAAGAAAATAGCAACTTTCAAATAGCAGCATAGTCACCTCAGCCCTTACTACTCATACATGTTACAAATTGTTTTATGTAACCCTGTCCTCTGTGGATGACTACACTGACGGAATACATTTGGTCTGTACTCTCTTCTGTTATGTATTAGAATTTCAAATGGTCTGAAATTGAGTTAACTGATAAATTTAAATTAAGTAGTTAAATTGTACTTTGGACTTAGTATTTAAATAAATGCCGATATATATTGTCAGTTTATGCCAACAAGATTGATATACAGTTTTCTTTTTTAACACAAATACATTTTAATATACACACAACAGTACAATTTACAATAACAGTTGTTACAAACAATGATTTATAAACCAAAGTTTCACAAACTTACAAGTAATATAAAGTCTTCCTTTTACTTTTAGTCTGGAACTTCTATATCTTATCGAGGGTTCACGATGCGCGAGTTAGATTTGTCTAAGAAAAAAGGGAGCTAGCTAACCCTGTAGTTCTCGCTGATCATACACCTATTAGCGGTTGAGTTTCCACCGATGACGTTAGGTTATTTACCAGCCACACACACTGAGCTCTCCACAGTGAATTTATATAATGTTTTCGTAAAAATACTAATGTCCAATGAGAATCCACTGAAGTTAAATAGTTTGTAATGTTCGAACTTTGTAAAAATTCCTGGTCAAATATCTGAAGCTTTCCAATTGATAAGCATTATGATAATCACAGTTATAGCTTTCGAAGTTTATAGCACACTGACTATAGTGAACTAATAATAGGCACACTCTTCGACGCGTCGGTTATATTTATAGCTGTGGGAAGGTTTTCTAGAAAATTCAGTCTTACGTAACAATACTGATTAAAGGGTTTACGCACACGCATATACTTTGGATTCTTACTCTCGAGAATCTTCTACAACTTTGGAGAATAGACGGGAGTTTTGCAATAC